GCCGGCGCGTTGTAGACGATTCGGTCTTCGAACCACCCCATGTCATCATCATCGATCTCGTAGCCCGGCCCAGCTGCTCCGGGTGCTGCGTCCCCTGTCGGGGCACCTAGGGTTGCCGGCTGCACAGGCGTCGGCGTGGTTGGGGGTTGAAATACAGGCGCCTCCACGTGGCGTCCTGCAGTTGCTGGCACCGGGAGCGCACCGACAGGCAGCGCACCACCCGCAGCAGATGGGGCCGCTACCGGGGTCTCCCATGCATTTTGACGCTTCCACCTGGCGGTCGCTACGGGCTGCCGGCCTCGGGGCGACCGAAAGGGTTCCGGTCCGCTCTCATCCCGCAGCTCACGGTCCGCCGACACTCGGCGGTTTCGTCCACGGCCGCGAGTGCGTGGTGGCGCCGCCTGCTCATCGCGCTCGGGGCTACTCGACCGGCGCGGCGATCCGCGCGATTCGGATTCAATCCGTTCGAGGTTTATGGTCCCTTCAGAATCCATACTTTGATCTTGTTCGTTCGCCTTCCGCGACAACAAGGTTGCCGCTTGGTTGACCAGTGGTAACTAAAGAATTCTTTGTTCTCACGCCCGGGCCTTCCACTCTGCGCGTGGGAGGCTGACCAAAGGGTGACGCTCACAGTGAACAAAAGTAAGAGTGCCTTAGCATTAGAATCTACTGACTACTGGCTACTGCCTAGCAGCCAGCCAACAAAGTGTTGCACCTGGGCCTGGTACCGTAGGCGACACCGCAAACACTCTGCGGATGCCCGAACCTCCGCGAGGGCAACGCACTTCGCGTGGGCGATCCCACGGGAACATTCCCAATGCCCGTCACACGATCTTTCGGTCCATCGCTGCCGCCATGAACATGCCACCTTGCACGACTACTATGAACTTGTCAAGTACATGAGTTCGAACAAGCCCCAGGTAACCGACGCGAACAAGGAGGGCCGTTTGCAGTGGGCCATACAGTACGTCCACTCAACTTCTCCGTCCGACTACCACTTTGACGACTTGATGGGTGTCGTTCATGTGGACGAGGAGTGGTTCTATGCGACCAAGATCAACAAGGCGTATTCCCTGGTGCCCGGTGAAGAGCCCCCACATTGCACGTGCAAGTCGAAGCGCTTTATTGCGTAAGTTATGTTCGTCTATGCTGTTGGTCGGTCGCGGTGGATCAACGGCGATGTCAAGTAGTTTGACCGAATGATTGCAACCTGGCATGTCACTGAGCAGGTCTCAGCACAGCGAACCAGCCGGAACTGCGACGCAGGAACAATGGTGACCCAACCGGTGTCGGTCACTCGGGACGTGTACCGCGACATGTTGATGGACAATGTGATCCCAGCGATGAAGGCTAAGCGGCCAAAGGAACTGCCAAGAAGAATCTCGATACAGCAGGACAATGCGCGTCTCCACATGCCGCCTTGCGACGCACGGATTGTTGTTGCATGCACTGCTGGCGGATGGGACATGAAGGTGGCGTACCAGCCGCCAAACACTCCGGATTTAACATTTTGGACCTTGGATTTTTCCGCGCCATACTGTCCCTCCAAGAGAAGAACCATTCAAGATGCATCGTCGATATTGTGGCGGCGACTGATGCAGCCTGAGAAGAAGTCGACATACTCCATGCAAATTATTTGACATTGCAGCTCTGCGAAATTATGGGCTGCCATGGATACAACTCGTACAAGATCCCCTATATACATAAGTGAAGATCTGCGACAAGTTACCCGAAGTGGTCAAGGTGGACAGCGACGGTTTTAAGGCCGGCTGTCTTGCAAGCGACCGATATGGAAAACACAGTCGCAGAACTGTCTTCTGAAATATGAGTATCTGCTGCTTTAGAATTGAGCAACTTCTGCTCTCGAATTGAGAAGCTCGATATTGTAGTCGATGACGAATTCATCAACATTTAAATGGATGTGGAATTTTGTATGGTATTTTTTCAGACTTTTCACAACCCTATTCGAAATTCGATTTTCTCGTGAAATATTCCATCTTTTTGTATGGTATTTTTCAGTCTTTTCACAATCTCTTTCGAAATTCAATATTCTCGTGAAATATTTCCGGACGGAGGTAGTACCCCGAAACCATCCCCATTTCGAAGGAGCAACGATGAGTGTCGCAGGTCTGACTGACGGGGACTCGTCTTGCACATATGCGAGCAAGCCCAAGAGAGCGAAATCACTCAGGCAATTGACTACACATCTGTCGACAACCATGGCTGCAAGTGCGTCGACTCTTCCAAGAACTGCCCATGAAATTCTCGGCATCATGAAGGCGCTGAAGCTCGATGACGTTGCAAGGCACTTCGACAAAGATGACGATGACATCGACCCCTACGTCGTTTGCGAAGGAGTCTCTGTCGATGCATTCAATGCGTATGTTGGAGATGGCGAAGGACTACGGGTTGCACTTCGATTTCTCGACCTCAGTGGTGATGAACGCATCTTCATTGTCGAGCTCCCAACAAGAGTGCATGAGAGCACATCAGAAAAATTCAAGACCAAATTTCTTAGTGCGTCAGGAAATGAAGGCGAAGTTGCACAAGGTGGCTCGCAACGGCGAGTAGAGCGGCGTTCCCGAAGAAAGTGGCCGATGCGACTATTGGGCCGAAGCGATCAACACCCAACCGCACGGCGCCGCCGTCACCTCGTATCATTGCTACTGTGTGACTCTGACGGTGGAGGTAGGACGTTCTCAACGTTGGGAAATGATGCTACAAGCGGCCCGATGGTGGTGCGGATATGCCAGGATTCAGTATATTTTGCTGTTAAAAGTCAGTGCCCCCGGGACGCAGATTCGTTACGCTCTCTACAATATCGTGACTCTTGGCATCCTTCCAGACCGACCAACAACGAGTGGGAAATTTCGACGACGCAACGGCCCAAATCCACCTGCTGTCGATGTTATGTTCGACATGCACCGCATCTTGTCGATCCCTGCGCACCAAGCTCTCCCTGGCGGAGTGAACCCAGTCATTGTTGTCAACCTGCGCACCGTCATGGATCAAGTCATCGATTGCCTTTGTTAAGAGTTTTCTTAATGTTCTACTTCAAAAGTGTCCTTTTCTTCGGGTTATTACGTTTTGCACAACAACGATCAACCAGGAGCCCATGGAGTGATTGATGCAAGAGGCCTCAATACATCCATCGCATTGAGTCTCTCAAATCTATTTGATAAGACGAGATATGCATCACAATACAACAAGTTCGCATTGCCCTTGCGGTAACAGTTCCTGGAACATGTCCTGCACGACTTTCCATCCACTTACATCGTAGAACGAGGGATATTTAGTGAAGAAGTCGTTCTTGGGCCCACGTCTTGACTGCAGGAACCGTTTGAAATATTTCCGTGACAACCAGCCCACCATAGTCAGCCAATTGACGATGGAGTGCATCATGTTGGGGGTGTGGACGCACCAGGCAACATTTGTTCCAACAGCGACGGCAAGTACGGTTCAATCGCGGGCGTGCATGTCTTGGTAAGAAAGTGTGCGGCACAATGCAGCGTTTCGATGCAATAATACTTGGACTTTTTATCCCCTCTTGGAGCAGCTGGATAATCAACGGCAGCTGAGGTACCAAATGGTCTACATTCATCAATTTCATTCCATAAACCCAAGGGCATACTCATAGAGGGCCATTGTCAGCTTGGGGCGAAATTTCTTTCTCTTTGCCCACTTCACCAAGAAGAGAGCGAATGTGTAGTCAGTGTTCTCCATTGAGCAATGAAATGGTACTGAGTAGTTAGCATTGTTTCAGGGATATCTGATAACATCGATGCACACTACTGGGTACTGTTGATTTGCCCAAGCAATATCTGTGTTGTGCCATCCAGTTCACGACCAATTGAATCGGGACGCATATCCAGCAGAAAGATAAACAATTATCTGCAAAATCAATCGACTATGAAAACGGCTCGACCAAACCAAAGGCCAAAAATCCCATCATGATTGTATATCGAATGCTTTCAAGGCAAAACACGGTCATCAGTGAACGTACCCACTGTTGTCTGGAGCTTCCAAGTCGGACACGCCGGGGGTGCCATGATGCAATCTGTTGACAGCCGAAGCACCTGACGTCGACGACGAGGCTGAAATGGAGCCCGTCGTGTTCAGCGGCGTCGGTTCATTCGGACAGGTGCCAGGGGGAAGGATGCCAGAGCTGTGTGACGACGGTTGGGGGTTGAGAACTTCGAGCAACCGTGGCAGGAGCATGGGGAAATACGTTTGCTTGAAATCAGATGGCGCCGCGCGGGCCAGTTTCTAGCCTTGGACAAGTCAAAATGATTCGTGGCGCTCGAATTGACACACCTCAATCAGCTGCAAAATTGGGCTCAAGTGTGCGCGCCAGTGGCGAAGGATCAGCGTCACCATCGAGGGAAAGGACGGACTTGAGTGATTCTGCACGATGGACGTGAGCGCCGTCAGTTGTAGGAACAGCGAATGGCGCAACCGCGGTTCCCCTGAAATGCCACAACTTTAACAAAAGCAGCCGAAAGTAGTTGAACAAACGTTTGTCCAACACGTGCAAGAAAGGTGGCACGATCGCGGGAAGAAATGGCACGCATTGTAACGACAGCGACTTGAAGATAAACATGATCGCTTGAATGACGCCGTAATGGTGCACTGCCAGTGACGGTTCGCGTAAAATCCCAAGTAATGCATGAATAGCCACCGTCGGGAAGTACGCATCGTCCGACACCGATAGCGCGGAGGTCGCAGTGCTCTATTGCAAGGCCAAGTGCATGGGATCTTCTTCGGCATTGGCCGTGGGTGGCATCACGACGAGGTCCAAGTGGGCGCGTCGCCGGATACCGACAGGGGGTGCCGTGAAGAGCTGGAGCTTAATTTACTGCTTTTCTTCATCGATTGTCGACGGGGTGGCTTGTCTCAACCCGCAGACAAACATCAAAGGCATGAATTGGTTCGAATGATTCAGTCTCTTGAAGCGTCTTTGCGCAAAATCACACTCGATATCAGGCCATTTCTCCTTGCAAAGGGGATTGCAACAAACAGCTCAGAGCTTACAGAGAAGAACACAAACGTGGTCCCGGACCCGACCCGAACACGCGAAGTTACGGAGACGCTGACTATGGACAACATGCAGTTCGAAAATGTCACGATGATCGAATGGGACCTGAAGGACAAGGAATTTGATGTCATTTTGGGTCAGCCATGGTTTCGCCAGTACAACCCGGTTATAAATTGGCGAGATCAAGTGATCACTTCGGTGGAAGAAGTGAAAACGAATTCTCTGATCACGAAGGACTGTGAAAGATGGATTCTTAAGCTTCTTCGCGCGGAGGCGCAGGTTCAGTCAACACCTGCAGAAATCGAGGAAGTGTTGGACGAGTTCATGGATGTTTTTCCCAAAGAACTGAGGGATGGGTTGCCACCAGAGCGCTTGGTGCAGTTTGACCTCACCTTGAAGCCCGGTGCGAAGCCCCAGAATCGTGCTCCTTTCCGACTGGCGAAAGTCGAACAAGAGTCGCTCGACAAGTTCGTAGAAAATCTGAAGAATAAAGGATTGGCTGAGTTGTCTACTAGTGATGGGGTTTCAAACATCGTTGGTGTGCCCAAGAAAGACAAGAACGGGAAGATACCCTCACGCCAAGTGTGGCTGAAGACGGCTACAGCAAACACACCAATCCGTTGGGTTCTTGACTACTGTCATATCAACTCACAGTCATAAATTCCAAGATATCATTACCGAACATCGAGGATCTCTTCAATATGATGCCTGGCTGCAGTGTTTTTTCAAAGATCGACCTTGCCTCTGGGTACCATCAAATTCACGCAATTATACTGCCTTTCGGACCCACAAGGAGATATTGCAATGGTGCGTAGCTCCCATGGGAATGGCAGGGGTGCCAGGGATATGGTCGAGACTTATGCGGTCGCTGTTCGACAAATTCTCCTTTGTGGTTGTCAATTTGGACGACATTTGCATCTACTCAACGAGTGTCGGTCAGCGTGCGGGACATCTGCGTGCTGTTCTCGAAGTTCTGCGATCGGACAAGCTGTACGCGCGTCGTGAAAGTGTACCTTCGCTGTACCCAAGGTTGACTTCGTGGGTCACACGATCTCGGCTGTTGGACTCGAGGCTGATGGCAGCAAGGTGCGCGCCATTGAGAAGTGGGCGGCACCTACAACCCGGAAAGAGCTGTTGAGCTTTCTTGAAATGTGTGGGTACTTTTGCAAATTTATTGCGAATTACGAGAACTTGGTCCTGCCGATCAGTGATCTTGCCAAGGAATCTGTGCCCTGGAAGTGGACGGAGAAAGCATTTTTTAGAGAAAGCATTTCTCACGGTGAAAACTGCGTTGCAACAAGCTCCTGTGCTTCAGTTGCCAGACTTCGACAAGCTGTTTATGATCACGAGGGATGCGTTTGGGTATTCCTGCGGAGCAGTCCTCTCGTAGATGGATGCTAAGGGCAAATGATCGGCCGATTGCCTTCTTGTCGAAGAAGTTCGGGGATACTGGAAGCAACTGGCCATCGCATGAAAAGGAATTGTACGCCATCAAGCTGGCTCTGATGAAGTGGCGGCCTTACGTATACGACTCACACTTTGACGTCTTTACAGACAATTCGACTTGTCAATGGTATGCTAAGGTAGGCGATGAAGTGCAAGATGATCGGTGTTGTGATTGTTAAACGAGCTCAATTGACCTTGTACTTCAAGTTGAACGACAAAAAATTCCATGGGTACGAAGACTTTTGGATTGGAATTTATGTATCGCATGTTTGCCATGACGTTTTAGTTCAAGCAATACATCCGAACCTGTTCATTCTGCATCAAATTAATCGAGCACTCGTGAAGCTTTACGTCAATGCTTTCTTCTTGTCGAGGATGTAATTATCGTTGTCGACGTTGAAACGTGAACAAGAATAATACTAGGGGTATGAAGACTAGTGACTCCCACTGTTCATCGCCATCCAGGGCGACTGTAGTAGAAGCCAAATTCAAACCCTGGCCCAAGGCAACAACTGGGGCCAACCTTCAGTCGACGTGCACCATCTTCACAGCCGAGGGCGTCAAGTGCCTCTGGACATGCTTGCTGCTTTCGACGCTGACACGTACCTTCCACGGATTCTGATTGCTACGACTCGTGGATCAAGCCCGTCATGAACATGACTGCTTCCACGATCTCCATCATCGCACATACCAGTTGGACATGGGCCAAACTGCCGAGTCGGACGAGTCGTGCTCATATAAGTAAATACAAAAATGGTGCTAAATGAACTGCTGTGCAAGCGCGAGTTTGGGCGTCACGACGAACGCCGGCGCTATCAAACGTTCGGCGGGCTTAAGATCCATCTCATCGAGGGTATTGCCCGCCGTCTGGCGTACACAAGGCTTCGAAACCAGGTATCGAGTCCAAAATCACATACTCGCAAGTATACTGAATATTTAGTGTTTAACAAATGGACTTGTGAACATATTAAATCTGACAATCCTTCGACGCTTCCGTTAATTTGTCAGACACCGCCTTCCTTCCAAAAATTGTTAAAATTCAGCCACCGATCAACTGATCATATCGTGGTATGAAATGAATAGCGCCAACCATTAGAACTTCAAGGGTCTTAACGCGTTCTGAAATTCAATTGGCTCCCGCCAAAGCAATTGCATTCGCGCCACTAACACGCATCCACCCCGACCTTTCACTTCACACTTCATTCAACCTTGCACCACCACCACTCAACATTGCCGCAATGAT